GGTTGTTAGATGTTTGAACTAAGCAACTTGTTCCATGTAATTAATATCTGAAATTTGATTTTTCAGGAACATGGCGTCGCAAAACATCCAAACCAACATTAATGATGAGAAAATGGGATACACCTCAAGTTTAGGGAGAAAATGCGTAACACTACTAGTGGCACCATCAAATGCACTAGTTCATGAATGAAATCGACCTGTCACGGCCAATTCAATCAACATGTCAACCTTTTTCTCCACTCGATCAAGTTGAGTTGATATGACTGCTTGTAGCCTTTCCTCGAATATTTCCATTTCAATTCTCAAAAAATCCACTATGTTGAGCTCATGAGAAACATGTAGAGGTTGAGATGCACTAAGAAAGTGCTGGTAGAAAGCATGATGTGGCTCGACATCATGCTCAACCTCATCTCTTTGACATGCTGTGAAGCATTATCATCTTCTTCCACAATTGGGGTCAACGTTTTCCAAAACACCTCCTCCAGTTCGGTTTCAGTAGGAATCAATGTAGAAATAACCTCTAACTGCAAATATTAAATCGTGCAAATCATTATTCATTTGCTAAGCTAATTCCACAATTTATCCTCACTATACTTTTTTAAAAAAAAAAGGAAATTTACCTCTTTCGATTCCAACATATTATCAATGGCGGCAGATGCTAACCTCTTCGGCATTTCCCAAGCTACCATTCTTGGAATTGCATTCGGATATTTTGTAGCAAACTTCATTCCCAATTTTGGAATCGCTTCGAATGCCCAAATCTATTGTAAAATAAACATTATTATTTCATAGCACAAAGTTTGTATACAAAAAATAATACAAGTCAAGTGCGTTGTTTTTTCATACCATTATAGCGAGTGGAAAGCCGTGCAATGAATACCGACAACGTGACTATCCTCCGACATCCAAACTTTTTAATTTACCTCCCATTTCACGTTTGAAGATGTTCATCGTGTATTCAAATGAAAATTTTCCCCAAGGGTACTTGTCAAACCTATCTAGATGATCCACCAAGTACAGCCACCATAAATCGATGTAGGTGTTTTCCTCTGTGGCCCATAGGATGTACCCCAAGATTACGATCAATTCCAATTTATATTTGTCGCTCTTTCTTTTCTTGTAGCTTACAAAAGCATTGTAAACATCTCCCCTTATAATCTTCCCCCTGCTTTTCTTAAAATATTCTTTGACGATCCGACACTCCGGCCCCAAAGTCCTATCCACGTTGTTAGCATCGCTGGCATTTAAGCCCGTCACTAAAACAAATTATTGCAATTCTAATCTTACTCGTTTGTCTCCTATCTCAAACCAAACTTCTTCTTTTTTCTGGTTTTCATCTTTCGTAATAATAATTGATGTATAACCTGCAAAGCCAACCTTATATCTCTCAATCTAAGAAACGATCCAAAATAACTCTCGTGGAGCTTGTTCTTATAATTTGTATCTAATTTTTCATAAACATCTTGTATGACCTGCATTTTGCATCTCGTTGTAATTGTAGCATCGACTTGAATCTTCTCCATAGCACTGCAAATTATAAAATAATACAAATATTACAGCAAGTGACGATGGTAAAACATATACGAACAAGATGTATAAACCAAGTTGAGCATACAAATTGTCGATAAGAAAAATAAAAATTCTGTACAGATTGCAAACACCGTAGTAATTCACAACAAAATCTCATACTAACATTCTACTAATGCAATTACCAGATCTACAACCAAATGTGAAATTATTATCGAAGATTATGCTTCATTTCGCGTATTATTTGATAGTTTAATGAGAAGAATTGAGTCCATCTCCAAGTACAAACTCCTAATTTCAATTCTAAAAACTTAGAAGACATAAAAAATAAAATCTGGAGAACAAGTTAAACACAATTAGCCTCGAGTCACTCTTGACTCACATACATATTTGGAAAAAAGAGTTGAAGACAATGAACTCATTTCCCCAATATAAAACTCCTTTGGACAAAAACATGCTAAAACATTCTCAATCAGCAGGCTCATATCACATCTTTCAAATTGTAACCGACTGCTTCAAAGCTTGCTTAATTAAACCAATCTTTTGAAGTAACATGAATAGCAGATACTGCATAAGCTCTCAGTTCTTTTATATCTATTCTTGAATAATCATATTTTGTAGTGTCAGAATCTTCATTTATAGATTTTCAAACTTTCACTACTAGAAAATACAGCTCCAGCTTTGGATGTTTTCATCATTAAATGCAAGTATTTTGTCAGAAATCATACTTATCAACGAAATTTTTTTTTCGTTCAATAAATACTGAATATGAATGTCCAGCCGACAATTTTCCAATGTTAACTTAACTATCGGTGATTAACGACATAATTACATATACGTTCAATTTCATTGGATATACCAACAGATTTCTATGAAAATTATTAGCAACCATTTTAGCGATGGCTTGGTTTGATTGAAATTATCGATACGTACAAGTTCATCTGAAATATTAACACACTTTTATTAAACTTCTTTCACTACAACTTAAATGGGAGGGAAAAGAAGCAAACACAATAAAGAGTCAAGAGCGTGCGAGAGAGTACCTGAAGATGTTTCGACAAGTCGCTGCGAAAACGGAGACAGAGATAGAATTTGTAGGGGACGAAAAGAGAGACGGAAATAGAGTTTGTGGGGCAAGTCTCAAAGGTGAGATATGGAGACAAATTGGGTTTTCTTTGATTGATTGTCTAAAACTCTAATTTGGGGAAGAATTGGAACTGTTCGTTCTGTTCTTTAATTTGGGGGAAGTAGGGTTTACTTGTGTGAGTGAATTAAGGGGGAAAGAAAAGCCAAAATCCTTTTATTTGGTAATGCAAGAGAAGGGCAAATTGGACTTTTGGGATTTTTAAATAACTCAAATTTCTTTTCTTTTAAAGAATTAAGCCAAACGCCATTTGAACAAAAAGACATTCAGCTAAGCCCATTTGAACTCATTCACCAATTTAGGATACCACGGCGACATCTTCAACAGATCATCGTAGTATACGAAGGGTTTCGGAGAATTACAGATCACTTTCACCCCTCTCCCAAGAGGACTTCTCTTACATGAGATCAACACGAATTTGGATGGAATTAAATTGTTAATTATTGCCCCGATTACTGTATAATTAATTGGAGATCATTAAATTAGTATTTATATTATACCTGTTTGGAAATTTGAATTGTTGTTGTTAGGGTTCTCAGTTATGGATGTGATGAGAAAAAGAGCAAGAACGAGCATGGATTCGACGATTGTCGATGTATGGAAACGTGAAGTAGGCGAGCTACCATCCAGAAACTTCGCTCACCGGCTCGCCGCTTCCGAGGTTCTTTCACGATTCCCAATCTTGATTCAGTAAAAAAAAAATTCTAATACGTATTTATCTATCTGTGATGTGGAATTGCGGTTTATTTAAGGCTATGTTTGATTACCATTCTTTTCCATGGAACTAAGAATTGATTTTCCATGGAACTACCTTTTGGCTTGTTTGATGCACAATATTTTCTTGGCAAAACCTTTTCCCACATTTGCCCACACGTGCACATTTGCTTGGTTTNTTTTTTTTCGTTTTTTTTTTTTACTTTTTGGAAATAGAAACAAATTTTATAACTAATTGTAGAAATAATTATCACTTTAATGGACAATTTCCATATAAAACAAAGTCAAACGAACACAAAATTTAAAAATTTTCCAGGTGGAAAATTATACCAATCAAACACACTTAATTTGCAATTCCCTACAAAACAATTTCTAGACAATTACTTTCCCTACAATTCATTTTCTTTCCATCCATTTTCTACTCTTGCAATCAAACAGACGCTAACTGTTTTGTTATTACGGTGTAGTTGAAGCATGTAGAAATTATGTTCTTATTTTATGTTGCAGTTTTATGTTGCAGTTTTGTGCCTTTGATTTCAGATTGCGCTATGTTTATGATTTTTGTTTTAGATGATCTCGAGATGGTGTTGATGCTAAATCTTCTCAAGAGAAGTTCAAATTTAAGAGTCGGGGATATCTTAACAAGGAAAGTTTGACACTTTCATCACAGAATTTTTGGATGATGTGGGCTAGAATCTTATTTCATGTTTATATGTTATACAATGCAATGATAAATATTGTGTGTCATGCAACCAAACCTAGGTTGTTGCTTCTGTGGTGTCTTTCAAGAGCTATTGAGGAACTCGGAAAAAAAAGAACTTTTCAACTTCTTTTAGGAAGTTTAGGCCATTGCTTTTATGGTGTGTTGAGTATTGTCTGCGAACATCTGATGATACTTCTATTTACTTGATTCATGGATATATGACATCAGGCCCTTATTAGTATTATCTGTTTTCACCATAAATTATACATTCATGTTTTATACTCTTAATTTAGACAAGAAATGAGAAGGAAAGATTTTATCCTTGAGAGACTAGTTATTATGGGCTTATTTTACGCTTCTGTGATGTTCATTCCATTTTGACTCGACAAGTGTTACCTTGAACATGGCATTACCTGCATGAGTCTGTTACTGGGCATAGTTTCTAAAACAATTGTTATCACATCTGGTAGTTTACTTCTGACCCCTAAGGGGGGCGTAGACCTGCAGTACCTTTAATGTAGAAGTTCACCATGTTTTTATTGATTCAATGTCATAGATATTGAGTTTTCTCATAGTGAGAACTATGAATTATTTTTTGTATCCTTAATTAGGCTTAGCAAAAGTAATGTCTGGAACTGAGTCCCTTTTAACTGAAAGAAGCATTTTGTTCTTATTGCTTTCTCTGAAATTCATGTCCTATTTATGCTCAGCCAAAATATTCTCTTTCCTTTCTCTTCTGTCTTCACGAATAAGAAGAAATAAGAATAGTTATCTGTCTGGAAACGTTGTTATGCATGAGCTTCCAAATGTAACCCTTTTTGTTTTCTTTTTATAATCCCAAGTGTCACTTTTTCTTGTTAAATGTTTTATTCTTTCCTACTTATGTATGCTTGAAAGTGAAGAAATAACATTTACTGTTATAAACCATCAGTCAAATCTTCATGAATTCACAAATAAAAGATCCATACAACATTTAGAATATTTGTCGGCTGTTTTAGGCTTCTTTTTTTACTTTTTTCAAACAAGGTGGTACTTCTTCCACTTAAGTAAAGGAAGATTTTTTTTGCCTTAAGCAGATATTTTCTGGAATATAACACGGGATGAATTTATTACGTGGAGTCTTGAAGTCCTATCTATGTGTATGTAAATGACAAACTGGGTTGTTGATGCTAGCTAATCAGTTATATCTGACTTACCGTAAATTCACTCTTCCCCAAATTGAATGTCTCCATCTCCCTCTTGGGACATCAAATTAATTCCCACTTTAGTTAACTGAAATCTTCTTCACTTATTCTTTCTTATACACTTGCTATAAAATGATTTCACTTCTGAACTTCCTATACAATTAGTGTCAGACTAACATAGTCCCTCATACTTTATGTTAAAAATCAAGATACAGAATTGGAAAACAATATAACTATCAAATTTTTCAGCTCCAAGCTTATTGACTTGTAATTTCCAATTTTTGGTATAAGGGTGTTGTTCTTCGTCTTGATATCCTCCGGAAGCTTGAAAAGCACAAAGGTTGTGTGAACACAGTTAGCTTCAATGATGATGGTGACATTCTTATATCGGGCTCTGACGACCGGAGGGTCTTACTCTGGGATTGGGAAACTGGTCATGTTAGACTGTCTTTCCATTCTGGTCATCACAACAATGTTTTCCAAGCAAAGCTTATGCCTTACACTGATGCCCGAAAAATTGTTACCTGTGCTGCTGATGGGCAGGTAATATTTTGC